TGGGCCGTCTTGGGGCGCTTTTGCGCCGTCTGGCCCCTTGGGAGGCCGTCTGGGGACCTCTCGGGGCCGCCTTGGAGCTCTCTTGGAGTCCTCTTGGGCCATCCTGGGGGCCTCTTGGACCGTCTGGGCGGCCTCTTTGGGCAATCTTGGGGCGCACTCGTACTAGTAAGTACTCGTGCTGACTTTCGTGATGGGAGCACGAGGGGGCGCATGACAGTGGTGGCGTCGACGACAGCTAAAGCGATGGACGACGGACGACGACGACGGAAGACGAATACGGTTACGAAGACGGACGAGGACGATGTGCGACGGAGGACAAACGACGGACAAGGAAGAACGGCCGACGCCGACATTGACTCACGACGACGACGTCGACGGCGTCGGACGTCAAGCGACGGACGACGGACGGCGACCGACAAGCGACGACGTTGATAGGGTGGGGCAGGGTTCATGAACCCCGTGGCGCAGCTTCCTATCGGTTCTGAGGCGACGGAGGCTGCCGCGGACGCAGGAGGCGCCCAGGGACACACGAAGGGGGGGCAGGGGGAGGAGGAGGAGGAGGAGGAGGAGGAGGAGGAGGAGGAGGAGGAGGAGGAGGAGGAGGAGGAAGAGGAAGAGGAGGAGGAAGAGGAGAAGGAGGAGGAGGAGGAGGAAGAGGAGGAGGTTCAGAAGGACGAGGAGGAGGAGGAGGAGGAGGAGGAGGAGGAGGAGGAGGAGGAGGAGGAGGAGGAGGAGCAGGAGCAGGAGAAGGAGTAGGAAGGAGGATGCGGAGGAGCAGGAGGAGGAGGAGGAGGATGGCGACGGCGAGCATGAGACTTAAAGGGGAGATGGGGGCGTGAGCGGTCGAGATCCGAGCACTGAGGTATTCGTGTCTCTTGTGTGGCCGTCGGAGACTTCGAGAGGGAAGGAGGGAAGCGGGGAAGGGGAGGGAAGAATTCGGAGGGAGAGCGGGGTGGAGAGCGGGGAGGAATGGGAAGGGGGGTCGTAAGGGGGGAGGAGGGCTCACGCGTGGCTCTCTCTGCTGTCGCCGCTTGTTTCCGGGCCCGACCTATTCGATTAGGGCCGCCATGTTCTGCCAGGATTGTGGCAAGAAGAGCGACGGGGAGTGCACCTGCCAGAGATCGCGGGGTCGTGGGAATGATGCCGGGAAGGAGATGGAGGACGGTATCTTCCTTGCTCAGATCGGGAAGCTTTTTGACGATAAGGTGAAGGTGATCGTGGACTCCACTGACACTCGTATAGAGCGTAACGAGATGCGGACTGAGGAGGCACACCAGCTGCTGGACACCGTGAACAACAGGCTGGGCGCTACGGATAACCGCCTCCACAAGCTGGAGCAGGCGATGTCGCAGGACCGTGCTCAGGGATCGGCATTTGTGCCAACGAGCGTCCAGGTGAAGGGCATCTGTAAGTTCACAGAGCGGATTGACCTCGGCATCACATACGATGGTGCAAAGGGTATGCGCGATGCGATTGTGGCTTTACTTCCCCAGGCCCTGCAGGAACAGGTAGGTGACGTGCACCGTCGTGGAATCAAGTGCTACAAGTTCACCGTTGACATTCAGGCTGGGTTCGCAACGGACCTTGGGTTTGCTTTCAAGGACCTGTTGAAGGATCTGGCTTCCCGCAGGAAAGGGAACGAACTCTACGTAACCGTTGAGCGCCCACACCTCGTGGAGAAGCGTTTTTCTGCTGCTAGGAAGGCCAAGGCGTTCCTGTTACACAAGGTAGGGAACCAGTTACACAGAACAGCTGCATGCAATTGGGAGCCAGACTTATGTTTCGTCGTCTTAAACAACCAGGTCGACGTTGTCGTCGGGCAGGTGGACGCGCCCGCCAAGCTGCAGTGGGACGCGACAGAGTGCCGCAGGGCGTTCGGAGCAACCTCTACGTCGGTCGACCTGCTTGCTGCCTTCAGTGCCTTTCCGAGGGTTAGGTGCTTGCGAAGCGTCCCGCGTCGACAGTTTCACCATAGTCGGTTGGAGCACTTGCAAGAATGGGGGATCTGCAGTTGCCTCAGTGGTCAATAAAGCATTTCGCGCTCAATTAGGGGATGTCGTGGCGCTCTTGCAGGAGATTTCCGCTTGGGTTCCTAGCGACAGATATGCTCATCACAATCACGTGCTGCTCAGCCAACCAGGGTCCGACTGCAGCTTATTTATTCCTAGACGCTGGATGTGTGCTGCGCGTGCAGTGCTGGTGAGCATGTGATTTTGGAATGTGATATTCGTATCTGCGCATATACCACCAGAAGAACATTTGGTCGCCGATGGCGCCGGCCAAATGATAATTCGAGAGCGCAGGTCCTTCGTGCAATGTGTGCGCGAATCCTTTTCTGCATTTCGTCTGGGCATTGTGATGAAAATTGACGCTACTTGCAGCCTTTCCTCCAACTATTAGGGGGTCGCGGGACCGTGTGTTTGTCCGCCATCGGAGTCCCACACCCGCACGATCGGCATGCCGATTTTGAACTGGTTTGAGTCGATGGGGTTGCGTGCCTTTGAACACTTACGACGTCGACAGAGAGGACTACATAGGTTCTGTCGCGGACCACTCCTGGACGTGCGGGTTCCGCCGAGGCCCTGCCAGACGTGCGCAGATTTTGCAGGCCTCGAGGTTGACACCAAGACCAAGATTGGCGGTGTGCCTCCACCCAGGGAAGACGATCCCGATCTCGGTGATGGTGACAATACTCCGGCTTCCAAACTGACCGAACCATTACCACCGACGCCGAGATTTAGGATCATCTTCCCCATGTGGAGGCAACCCCCCCGTGCTGGTGTTGGTGCCAATTTCCAGGCCTCCAAAGATTGATTTGTTGCTGTGGCGGAACATATCGCGGGAATGCATGCCGAATGGCTTTGCTGGGAGGCTCTTTCCAAAGATCAGACCACAGGCCTCCTGTTGGCTGCCTCCATGTGCCAGAACGTCCAGCGCTACCACTGCCGCGCGCGAGTCCGATGAAGGGTTGGGCGCCGCTGGGCGATGACGACTTTCGTAGGTTTCGTGGACGGTGTTCGCAGCTTGATGCGTGCAGCCTGCCATATTTTCACACCAGAGTGTTAGGACTTGCTCGATCCATTTCTTTCTCGCCCTGGGTGCGCGGTGAGCCGTCAACTCGTCGGTGCAGGCCGCTCGGGATCCAGTGGCTGCAGCGCCGGCGTCTGGCCGACGATCCGCAGTCCTCAATTCAAGGGCAGTGCTGCGGCGAGCACGGACACAAGGAGGTGAGCGTAAATTGGAACTTGTCCGTGTGTCAGCGCGCCAAAACGGACTCCCAAATGCCGCTGCGGATCAACGGCGGGAAAAGTCAAGACAGAGAGATGTGGTTACGAGAGGCTTTCGACTTCGGTGTATAATTGTTGACGCTTCGCGAATCCCCACCAGCCCATCCAGAAACGATGCCCGGAGGAATTGCCTCGACCAGGGAAGTGGGCAGCACGCAGAGGAGACCATTCGGAGACATCTTGGGATTATCTTGAGCCATCTTGGAGGTCATCTTGGGCTCTCCCAGGCGCTCTTGGAGTTATCTTAATCAGTGCCCCCCCCAAGAGGCCAACATGTGGCTAAAACCCTAAAGCCTTCGTGCAATCGATGATTGGGCATTCTCGCCGAGGCCTTGGAGCATCTTGGGTGCCTCTGGGGGGTCTCTTGGGGCCTCTTGGGGGTCTCTTTAACGGTTCGAAAGCAAACTTCGGAATTTCAGGCATCTTACGCATAACACCTGTATATGCTTGCAGGAAGTTCGGTGCTCTTCCGCCGTTGCGGAGAGTAGTTTTTTCTCGCATGTCCCTGGCCGTGTTACTTTTATAGTTTCCGGCGCAGGTCGGCCAGGTCTGGCAATATCCATTGACAAAGCCTTCGCGCAAGAGCGGGGCGTTGTTGAGGATGATGCCAACGGTCGCTCGCCGAATCATCATCACGTGCTTCCGGATGGCCACTGCCACGCTGTTTCGTGGATGGAGGCCGGCCGCATTAGGTTGATTATGAATGTGTATCTCGACTCGCACTGCAACGCGCGGCGCGTGCAGCAACTCCAGGGCATCACATCTTGGTTTTGCGATTTTCGTGCGGGACACCCAGATGCGCCTATTGATGTTGTCGCTGGAGGCGACAAGAACTTCAAGGCGTCAGAAGGAGAACAAGATAACTCTGAACCCGGGAGCTGGCACCCTGGCGCGAGGATGCTCGATGCGTGGCGCTCCTGGCTTAACAGCATTGGCGTTTACCACGTCGATCAGCCAGAGCACACATATCGACGACAAGGGAAGCGAAGAGATGGTACTATTTATTACGTTCGTGAAACTTTGGACTTCATGTGCACTTCTTTGGACGTGTTGTCGCGCCATGCGTCAGTAGCGGTGTGCCGGCAGGACGTGCCTTGCCCTTTCGCCTCAGATCACTTGCCCTTGGAGTGTCGCACGGTCAGTCGTCGCAGACGGAGGCGGCAGAGACGCATCAAGGTTGACGCTCCCATTCCACAGTGGTTGTTCGAAGACGGTGATTTTCTGCGCGCCTTTCGCGGTGAAATCGAGACCTGGGCTTCGGGCAGAAGCGATGGCAATCTCAGAGGCCTCGACGCCCTTGTCTCCTTTGCTGGTCTCGTGCGTTCTCTGGCTGACGATTGGCTTGAAACACGACTCGTCCAAGCGACGACGCCCGGCCATATGTTTGACGTTACCATGCGTGTCTTTTGTTGTGCCCGGGAGTCTGGCACAGTGCCGCTTGCAGTGTATAGTAAAGCTGTTAGAATCTATCCTTCGCTGGTGGAAATCGCCCCATGTCGCGTGCAGTTGTGCGAAGAGGGCCACGGCATCTCGGTTAGCTTGGAAGCTTTGCGCGAGCATCTGCAGGTTCTCGCTGGCCGCTTGGTGGCTGAGCGCAGTGATGCCGAATCGTCTGAGGACGACGTTTGGGACCATCCTGTCGACCCCCATTCTTTGCAAGCCGGTTCCGTCGGAACCAACCTCTCGAGACAGTTGAAAGCCTTGTTGCCGACGCATCGGCATAGTTTCAGTGTCATGTGGGACGAGTCTCACGCTGAATTCACCGATGACGTTGACCGCATCTCCGAGCTCATTCTCGAAGAGGGTCGGCGCCGCCAGGGGCGTCCCAGAGGTGAGTCAGCAGCAGCGGATCGCATATTTTCGTCGTGTCGCTTGGATCTGTCGTCGTGCCGGGAACGCCTGACTGACCAAGAAGTGTTGGGGATCATTTTGGGCATCCGCTCTGGTAAGCACCCTGGGCCGGACGGCGTGCCAGGGGTCGCATGCAAGAGAGCGGCAAAATGGTTGCTCCCTGTTTTCCACGAGGCTCTGGAAGATCTGAAAGCCGGCACGGCGACCGCCAGCTTCCTCGACGCTTCTTGGGTGCCCATCGGGAAGGTGCCCAACCCCACCCATTTGTCCCACCTCCGCGATTTGGAATTGCCGAACGAGAGCAGGAAAGTGGTTTCCCGTATGGTCTCCATTCTGCTCGACGAAGCTTCGGCGGGATCCTTGCGCGCTGCGCAGCAGGCCTTTGCGCGCAAGCGGGACATCGTACGAAATGTCGTGGGCCTCAGCGAGGTGTATTACTCAGCCGCGGAAGCGGGTGTCTTGAAGGCAATATTATGCACTGATTGTTCCAGAGGGTACAACATGATGGGGTTGGCTTACGTCCGACGAGTTCTCGAACACGCCCGTGCCCCGCCGGACATCCTGACCTGCGTGACAACGATGATCACGGGATGCTCGTCGCAGCTCGTCTTTCGAGGGCGGGTTTTCGGGGTGATCGCCTTGGAATGCGGCCTCCGCCAGGGAGATCCGGTATCCTGCTTCTTGTACATCATTGCCGTGGATCCGCTCTTTTGGGCTTTGCAAAACTGCCCTGGCGTAGGCATGCTGTTTGGATTTTGCGACGACTGGCAAGTGGAGGTCGAGCTAGTCAGCGCCATCCCCAACATTCAGAATGTGTTCGATGACTTCCAGGCGGCGTCAGGGCAGGTGGTCAACGAAGCCAAGAGTGGTTTCCTTGTCACCAGGGAGGTCACTGAGGAAGAACTGACCGCCATCAAGGCCAATTGGGCGGAGTGCCGGGTGGTATCTCGCAAACGCTTGCTCGGCATCTTGATTGGCGTCGACGTCACTCCCGAAGAAGTCTGCCGCGATCTGGAAGAGCGCCTGGCGGTTCGGCTGGAGGCATACAGAGGCGCCGCCATGTCGAAGGTGGCCAAGATTTTCGCGACCAACACCTTCTGTTACCCACTGTTTTCTTACGTGTGGCGCGTGCCTTTTGTCCCAGAACAGACGAGAAGCAGAGTGGAAGAGGCAGTGCGGCAGTTCGTCTTAGCAGTCCCAACGGTGAAGCTCTTGGCTCTGTCGCATGTCCAGCGGATGTTCGGCATGCGCGCAGAGCTCCGCGATTTCCGGCTGCGGAACGTCGTGGGCCTCATTGGCGCCGCAGTCAAGTTGGAGACTTTCGACGTGGGGCAGAGACCTCTTAGCGGAGACATCGGGCATGCTGGGCATCCAATGCGCATGTGGAGACATTACAGACGTGCTTTCTGCTTCTTCCGCAACGCCGCCGGGGCCACGGCGCACGCCGTTACGACACCATCTGGCGCTGGCACGGGCGCGGCCGCCAGGGCGCTGTATCGGCGGTTGATTGCCGCGGAAGCTGACGCCGTGGAAGGGCACGTTCGTCGCCGGCTGCGGGACCGCGGCATTCGCCCGCAGTGCGCCCTGGACAATTTGGCGCGACTCCCAAGCACGATCCCGCAACGCCACAGATGGGCGCTCTTCCAATGGCTCCTCAATGCGCTGCCCACCGCGAGACGCATGCGCTTCCGCGGAGACGTTGGCGCAAACACGTGCCTCCTATGCGGGGGGGGGCGAGGGCAGCACAGAGCACATGTGCACATGCCCCGTCGTTCACGCTGCATACGAGGCGATTTGCAGTAGCACGGGCGTGATGGATGAATGGCGCGACTCATATGCTTTCTTGAGCCTGCAGCTGCACGGTGCCCAGTTGCAGTCCATCGCCGCTTTGCTTTTCGCTGTGGGTAGGGCTCGTTGCGCAATGCGCAGAGGGCGCCGTTTTGACGGCGAGCGCGACCTCGTGCAGCATCTCCTGCGCCTGGTGGAGCACCCGTGGCTCAGCGATTCGGAGGGCGCTCAGGGCAGACAAGAACTCCGAGCGCGCAGAGCGCGACGGCCGCCCGAGGACGAGCACGCGGTCACCTACAGATCCGACGGGGCTGCCCGGGGCCAAGGCCGAGCGGGCGACGGGCTCGTCAGCGGCAGCTTCGGCGCCGTTCGCCTCCGGGATGGGGCAGTGCAGGGGCGCGTCGGCAGACTCTTGCCGGCGTGCAGCAACATCGCGGCGGAGTACGAGGGCGTGCTCAGCTGCTTCCGGGGCGCCCTGCAACGGCCCGACGCGGCGGTCACGTTCCAGGTTGACTCCTTGCTGCTGGCACGTCAGTGCAATATGGAGTGGCGATGCCGGTCGCCATCGCTCATCCCATATTGGGAGCAGGCTGCTGACCTGTTACGCAGGCTCCGCGATAGGGGCACGGCGTGCACCACTCGTCACATCTACCGAGAATTCAACGCACTTGCTGACAGCATCGCCAATGAGGTTATCAACAACGGCCAAGACATCACGGAAAATTGGCTTATGTGAGATACTGGGACACGCAATGATACTTCGGATTGGTTGAGAACCAAACGGAATTACATAGAGTACAGGAACCACCGGCCATCATTGTCATGCAGTGCGGATATTCTTGGTTACGACGGCAGGCTTGGACACGACAGCGTGTATTCGGTGCGCATTTGAGCAAACCTGAGGAACTGGCAGCATGCATTCGGCACGCCGGCATTTGAGCAAACCTGAGGAACCTGAGCAAACCTGAGGAAGCGGGGGGAACAAAATCTTGGGGGCGTCCTGGGGGCCTCTTGGGGCTTCCTGGCCACCTCTTGGGGCCCTCTTGGGGCGTCCTCGGGAGCTTCGGGGGCCATCTCGGAGGAGAACGATCAAAGAGGGGGGGGGGGGGGGCGGATTGCAGTCGCCCTCCCAGAAGGCCAAAATGGGCCGACACCTGAGTGGCATCTAATTTTAATAATCAGTATATTAATAATAATATTAATAATAATACTAATAATCAGTATAGTATTAATAATAACCATGCGAATAATAAGAATAATAATATTAATATTAATAATACTAGCAATAATAATAACAATAATTTTAATCATAATAATACCAATACTACTAATACTAATACTACTAATAACAATATTAGTAATAATAATTTTTTATTATACTAATACTATTAATATCATTATTATTAACAATAATACTAATACTAACACTACTAATAATGATACTGATAATAATAATATTAATAATAACGACAATCATAATAGTAATAATACTCATATTATCATTATTATTAATCATATTATTATTATTATTAATAATATTACTAATACTAATAATCGTAATAATAATAATAATAATAATAATACTAATGATAATGTTATTAATAATAATAATACTATTAATAATTATAACAATAATAGTACTAATGCTACTACTAATAATAATAATCAGTGTGTTAAGAATAATAATATTACGAAGAATAAGAAGAACACTAATCCTTAGAATAATAAGAACAAGAAGAAGAGGAGGAGGATAATGAGGAGGAGGAGGAGGAGGAGGGGGGAGGAAGGAGGAAGGAGGAAGGAGGAAGAGGAAGGAGGAGGAAGAGGAGGAGGAGGAGGAGGAGGAGGAAGGAGGACAGAGCGAGGAGGAGGGAGGAGGAGGAGGAGGAGGAGGAGGAGGAGGGAGGGGGATGAGGAGGAGGAGGAGCACTGGAGGGAGGAGAGGAGAGGGAGGAGAGGAAGAGGAGGGAGGAGGAGGAGGAGGAGGAGGAGGAGGGGAGGAGGAGGAGGGAGGAGGAGGGGGGGAGGAGGAGGAGCGAGCGGAGCCTCTGGGGGGCACTCCCCGATCCGGTTCTCATCTCCCCTTCCTTTCTCTTCCCCCCGCCTTCCCCCCTCATTTCCCTTCCCCCTCCTCCTCCTCCTCTCCTCCTCCTCCCTCCCCGCTCCTCTCCTCCCTCCCTCCTCCTCCTCCTCCTCTCTCCCTCCCCTCCCCTCCCTCCTCTCTCCCTCCTCCTCTCCCTCCCTCCCTCCCCTCCCTCTCCCTGCTCCTCTCCCTCCCCCCCCTCCTTCTCCTCCTCCTCCTCCTCCTCCTCCTCCTCCTCCTCCGTGCTTCGGTGTGGATCGTCTGCGCGCCTCGTGTCCGTCGTCGTTGTCGGTGTCGTCGTGGTTGCTGTGCGTGGTGCTCTGCTTCGGGCTCGTTTTGCAGTGACCGCCCACCCGAGATTGTTTTTCCCGTGGAGGCTCCTGCGCAGACAGCGGCCTGCGTGCCCCCGGTGGCGGTCTCCGCCTGTGCTGCTCCTCGTCGAGAGAAAATCTCCGGGGGAGGCGACGACGACGATGACGACGGCGACGACGACGACGACGACGACGACGACGACGACCCCTTCCGTCGGTTTCTCATGAGGTTCTCTCCTGCCACCGCCGCCGCCGGTTCCCGCTGGCGCCCGGGCCAGTCTCGCGATCTTGGCCGGCAACGGTCAGGGCGGGCTGGGCTCGAGGGGGGTTGCATCGACCCCCAATCGCCCATGCATCGTGGATACAGGCGCGATGGCCCGCCCCGCCCAGGAGCGAGCGGATTCGCTATGGGGGCCTGTTGCCGATTTCTCGATGCATCTCTGGTTCCAGGTCGATGTTGCCCCCCTGGGCTTTAGTCGAGCATGTCCCTCTACAGGAGGAATATTAAACAACAGTCAAAAAATAGTCTGGAGACGATTTTTCCAATTATTTTTGAATATTTTCAAGCATTTCTGGAATATGCTTAGTTTTTCGCCCAAAATCCGCTTGGAAACGCCCCACCTTCTCTCAAGACCTCCTTGGGTTTGTGGAGGTCTTCGCAGGCCGACAGTTGCCTCTTGAGGCCCACAGGGGGTAATAGCATACAAAACCGTCTACGTCTTGATCCTCCTCCTCCTCCTTTTCTCCCTTCCTGTCCTCTCCTCCCTTCCCTCCCTCCCTCACTCCTTCCCTCCCCGCCTCATTGCCCCTACCCGCAGCGGGTGAAGAGATGGACGTCGATTCGGTGAGGGGCGTGCTGAGCACCGACGCGGCCCCGCCGAAGGTCATGGAGGCGCGCAGCATGGGGGGCCGGCCCGCGGGCTTCCTCCTCTTGCTCCTCCTCCTCCTCCTCCTCCTCCTCCTCGTCCTGCTCCTCCTTAGGAGGAGCAGGACCTGCTCCTCCTTCTCTTCCCTGCGCAGGGTAACAGATAAATGGAGCGCCACACCGCAGGAACCCACTGTCGTTGTCGTGGCAGAAGCCTGGCCCGCGTCTCGGCGCTTGCCTTTTGTCTTGTCCTCCCCTTTCCTGCAGGGAGGGGGGAGGGAGGAGGAGGAGGAGGGGGAGGAGGAGGGGGAGGAGGAGGAGGAGGAGGAGGAGGAGGAGGAGGAGGAGGAGGAGAAGGAGGCGGATGAGGAGAAGGCGGAGCAGGAGGCGGAGGAGGAGGAGGCGGAGGAGGAGAGGCGGAGGAGGAGGAGGCGGAGGAGGAGGAGGAGGCGGAGGAGGAGGAGGAGGAGGAGGCAGAGCAGGGGAGGCGGAGGAAGGGAGGAGGAGGAGGAGGAGGAGGAGGAGAGGAGGAGGAGGAGGAGGAGGAGGAGGAGGAGGAGGATCCCTTGCCAGAGAGTGCGGATGACGGGCACGGTGGCGATGGCGGTGAGGTTGGTCGGCTGAGGGGGGCAGGCCAGCACCACGGCCGCGCCGTCTTGCAGTGATCGGCCGCCCGCGGGTCCACGGGACTCCGGCACGGCCACGTGCCTCGCCGCTGCCTGTCGGCAGCTTTGCGGAACAGCTCTCGTCATGGATCACCAGCCTCGATCTTATCCCTATCCCTAAGATTGACACGCGAAAAGGAGGTGACAATCTTAGGGATGCGCCCTCAGAAACGAAGGGAATCCCTAAGATCGGCATCGTGATGAGGCGATGCCCAGCATAGGAATAGGGATATGTTCCAGGCTGGTAAATGGAGGATATACGTCAGAGGAGGAAAAAACACCCATGCCGCTACCTTCTCCTCGTTTCCCCCCTTGTGGGGCCTCCTCGGAGGCCCTCGTCGCCACCGCTGGATTCGCCTCGAAGTCTAGGTCAAGACGCACCCGAGGAGAGGTCCGTGGAGTAGCGGTATTGGTGCCTTTTGTTTTCCCGATGCTCACGGCTACCGCTAAACTCCGGCATAGAGGCTACGTATGCGATATGAAATATCACACAAGTGAGGTTCTGGCGTCTATTGGGGCCCCCTACCTGGGTAGCCTACTAGCGGGGGAGTCTCAAATACCCTGGGTGGCCATGCCCTGTAACTGGTATGTACGTGGGCCAGGTAAGCGGGCAGGGCCACACTACGATCGCATCCGCAATCTTACCACTACAGCGCGCGCTCTGCGAATGCTGACTGTGACTGTGACGATGGATCCACCAGGATCCAATCGTGGCATCAAGTCTGATCGAACATTCAAATCACCCAAGGGCTCATACCTACACATAGTCACAACTTATCCAAGGATACCAAAGACACTGTAGCGATATGTGTTTACTTCAGATGCCGAGCATGGGTCCGATTCGGATGGGCACGAGTGATGCCGTGCCGAATGGGTACGTCGGACAAGTGGTATACTGATGGCACGCTTCCCGGAACAATCTGACACATCGAATCGCAGACATGACGACGGGAAGGAAACATACTTGAGTATATTCACTCGTGCTGGCAACGGCGGTCGGACATACGTCCAGGAGCCGCTCCACGGTCGTGCGCTGGACAGCGTTCTGTGCACGGCGGCCCTTGATCTGGACACCGCAGAGGATATCCTAAAGATCAAGGACCACCGACAGGCTACGATTGGAAGGTTCCCCTACCTGTTGGAGTCAGGAACATCAGTGCTCGTCTGTACTGGGAGCCTGCGCTCATTGCCCTGCTCGGCCTCGAGCGACCAATGGAGCGGCAACGCCCAAAACGACGAGTGGCGTTCAGCGAAGTTAATCGATCTCATCCCCCGACTTTTGGGCTTGTGCACGAGGTTGATGGCGAGGGACTGCCCGCTTTTCCATTGTTTCCGATTCTCCAGGAGATCGCATTATCTGCGGATGCCCGGCTGAAGCAAAACAACAGAAAGTTGACAAAGCGGCCAGCACCAAGCAATGTAACATACCCAAGACATCAAAAGACGACAGCGACGACGGAAGCGAATATTTCAACGGTCTAACTTGTACCGTGTACTTCATTGATGTTCCGATAAAAGAGCTACAGCGTTGGAGTATGGCGATGACGAGATAGTCTTGACATTGCCATCGCTTGCGGGCGCGCATGCATGCGTTCTCGCTACCATGTCTGTTCGTTGCCATGGACATGCCAACGATATTGACATGTTGGAACTCTGTGGGCGACTGGGCGGGGTCTTACAGCTAGATTTCAAAAGGAAGGTGCCATCGGAGGTGAATTCGGCAAACGTTCCAACGTGGCACCAAGAGGACCTGCCACATATCACCTTCCGTTGCAAGGTAGCCGTCCTGCAAGGTGATCTCCGACGGTTATTCCTCCGAGAACAATCATCGTGTATCTTGGTAGACGGAATCAAACCGTGGTCTGACCTGGCCAAAAGCAAGGTCACACGCCGACGAATCATAGACCAGCGCGCCACGGGTCTACGAGAATCTCGCGGTATTTCATTTTGTGAATCTACGGGCATGGGTCACAATTTCGAGCAGTGCTACAACCGTTCGAGAAGAAGCGGTGTCGCGATAGCAGGCGGTGCCATGGCCATCGCGAACACGCTCGGCGTGCAACGCAGAGCTTTGCAGGGCAGCTCAGTGCGCGCCCAGGATGCAATCGCGGATCGTAGATGCGGTCGAGCTTGCCGCGGCACTTCGTGCCTGCAGTCGCGACTTTTTCGCCGACGGTTCTGCGACCGTCTGTGTGGTCAACGGGGCGGGATGCGACTTGGATAGTGCAAGGGTCAATCCAGCGGTGCCGTCGCGCGACCGCCGGGCGGGGGTCCGGGGTGTCCCGCTTGCGCGGGCGACGCGCGCATCAGTTCACTTCGACGCAGTCGCGGCCCGGGGGCGTGCGTGCGACGCGAGAATGAGCCGCGCAGCTGAGCCACATTGCTGCGGATGTTTCAGTTGTGCGAGAGATTGCGGCTGCAACGAGGCAGGCTTTTTTGGGCCCCGTGCGAATGCGTACTTACTAAACGTCGGCATCTTCCGAGAATCCGCGCGCAGCCATCGCCGGCGCCAGCTGCAGCCGGGGCCGACGCGACTGCGCCAGCCGCGGCAGCGGCGTCAACAAGGTCAGCGCGGCCGCGCTTGCCGCGGTACTACGGGCCGCGCCGGGGCAAGCAGATCCGTCCGCCGGCGCCGGTAGCTACGACATGACGCGCGGTGCTCTTGGAGACCGCAACGGCTCGTCGAGCGGCGCGCGCAGTGTGACTGACTGGGCAGATTGCGGGAAGGTGTGGTCGCGCGCGGGGCGGCGCGGATCTTCCGCCGCCTGTTCGGGCGCGAGCCGACGCGCGGCCGCGTGCGAGACTGCCGAATTGGCTGCGGTTCGATGCGCGGATAATGACTAGCCGAGTTTGCGCAGTTTCGACCTGGCAGTAGTCGCGACGGAATTGTGCAGGTTTTATTTCCGCTGTAGCCGAAGACGAGATTCATTCTTTGAAACGTCGGCACGCAGTGCAAGGCGTTCTGTGACTCGAGCAATCTGCGATCCATGCCGTGAATTTTGGGCTTAGGAACTCGGCGAAGCGACTGTGCGTTATGCCGTCCGTCATCCTCCCAGGCAGTTTCAACGCAGGCGCCGAATGCGACTTGATGTTTTGCAGACAGCATTTCTTATTGCCCATCATTGATCGCTGCGTTTTGATGGGCAGCTGGACAAGAGGTACCTGACAAGGCAACGCGCTGTTTTCTCGGCGCTTGCCAGCGGGGTTGATGCAGCGATGACATGCGAACGTTTTATGTCCAGAGGGCGATGGGGGCCTCGTGCAACGAGGTAGCCATGGCCGTCATTGGGTCCAAGTGCACTGAGCTCCGCGTGCGAAGGCGTGGCCAGCGCGACCCGTCGGGGCAAGGGGCGGCGTTCTTCGACGCGCGCTGGACGTCGTGTGAGAAGAACTCAAGAGGCACAATCTATCCCGTGTCTGCTCGCGCTTTCTGCCGGAAGCCATGCTTTCGAGCGGCGTGTTCACTTCCTGCAGTGGTGCGTCCGTCGCCTTGCCGAGCTCGCGTGGGCGATGGCCTGCGCGGCTCCCGGATCTCCCAGCAATTTGCCGCGGAAAACGTCCGGGAATTTCTAGTCGCAACCGCGAGCGACGGATCAGCGAGATCACCGCTGCGGCAATTGCGAAGGCCATCCCAGTTGCCGAAGCCGCCCGTGCCTGGCGCGCGAAGACTACGCCGTTCGGCCAACATGTATACAAGCAAGGAGATCTTGTTGATTATGACAAATCCACTGCAACAAAGGATGCCTGCGGAGACTTGCAGCGGCCCACGCCGAGTCGTAAGGAACGACTTCGAGCGGGGCCAGGCTGGCGCGGGTCGGGGGCAGGGAAGTCATCGGTCATCGCCCAGACGCACGACGCGCGCTCTCTGTGGACGCCTTCGTCGCCCGCAAGATCGTCTCCGATTGCGCGGCGCCGCCGGCGGGGAAAACTGCCGTGACCTTTGGCCGCGTGCCAACAGAGCAGAGATATTTTCGACGGGCGACGGCGAGCTAGCTATGGCTTCGCGCCCATTTGGCGCTACAGTTCTTCATCGGGAAGTGGTTCTGGATCGAGGCATGCCAAACGCATTCAACGATTCCCTGCAGTCGCATGCGCTAGCAGCGTGGCGTAGGTCTACTGCGACAACGACCTTGCCCCATGATTCCACTGCCATGAATCCAATGGCACAGCCTCGGACATCTGGCATCGCTGGTATGCCGCGCACACGAGGGGGCCCAACTGCCCCGCCCCCCCCCGCCCACGCGCGCGCAAGGCCCAATGGCAACCGCCTACCCGAAAGCTGCGAGGAGTCTGAAGGCGACCTCGAAGCACGCATCGCGGAGATTTGGCATACCGCATTAATGGAATAATCAGATCTTTTGGACGTCGCCCCAGTTGCGCTATTGTTGGCGCCAGCCCAGATCCGAAAACGGTGTGCTGGTAAGGGCAAGGCCACCTGCGAGCCCGGGGCAAGCTGCGGTGCGACGCCGGGGAAGCATATCACGCCCCTAAGTTCTATTTGCCATGGCGATACCCATGGGCTGGACTCCGACGAGCGTCGGCAACGTGTTGAGCTCTGTCTCGCAGCCGGCATGCCCAAGGTCGCGCGGGCAGAGCAGCCGCGGCGATTGCTGGACGACATTTGCGTCACTACGATGCGAGTGTACGCGGCGTCGGCCTCGAAGATGGCTGCAGTCGTCAAAGGCGGCGACGCCGTCGCGAAAGCTGCGAGCCAAGCGAAACATATTCAGATATCCAAGGCACTCCAAACAGGACGCGGTATCTGTTTCGACGAGAAATTCTGCAGGCTGCAAGAGGCCAAAAACGCGGCGAAAGTTACGGCGTCGTCATATCCCCACATAGAGAGATTTTCTGGGAACAAGAAAGGAGCAGTGGGGCGCGCCATTCGACTTCGCCTCAGGTTACGGGGACGCATGGACCTCGTTGCTTTCGAAGTGGAGACCTTGTCAAGCGCGGCCAGGCGATCTTGCTAGATGCCCCTTGCTGGCTCGGCCGCGCGCAGGAAGCAGTGGGCCGCGTCCATGAACGTCGACAGCGCCTCAGGGGAGTCACGCACCACGAGTTGGCTGGGGCATTCGGCGAGAACGATGGGATGGTTTGCTTTGCCTTGTCGCAGGTCTTATCCCATCGCGTGGTCACGCAGGTTTCGCGTCCCACGACGCGTCGAAGCGCAGCCTGCGGCGCTCGGGGCCAGGCGCCGGGGCCAGGGGCGCCCGCGGGCACTCTTGCTGGAGCTCCGCGCGGCCATTCGGATTCGGGTTGCGACCCGCTGCGTGCGATGGCGAGTTCGAGATTAGCCTGGCGGCTAATCGCGACGATGGCGTAAACGTGGCCGGTGCTGCGGGCGCGATCGGCAAGCGCGTCGCATGTGTGAAGGCCGCATTCGGCGCGTGCGAACTCAATGAGCACGCGCGCGCGATATGCGCCGCGAGGCGCGCCCTTTCCGGCGCGCTGAACTCGCGGGTGCTGTGGCTGAAGAACAGGCGACGGAGACTGTGGCTGACGCGTTCGTCGGCGATCGAGGTGCCTTGGTTTGCGCCTCGATCGCCCAAGTATGGTTGATGGTGCGCGCAGTTTCCCTAGAAGGCGTCGAAGAACCAACCGACGTACAGGTGCGACGACTCAGGGCTATCGCTGGGGAGTTGCAGGCCAGCCCGGAGCATGTCGCATGCCGAGCCATGGCTCCAAAGGGAGAGTTGGCCCTGCGCGGCGACTTTGGGCACCGACGCCTCAACGGCGGCGCCGGCCGCGAGGTGAAGGGGCATGGCAGCATTGGTTCCAACCTGAATAGGCGTGGGCGCACGCAAGGTGGGGAGCCTATCGTGCACTTGGCAAGCGCGCGCTGCATGTCCCATCGGCTCCAGGTACGCGTTAGCTAGTTAGTTGCAACGCTAGCAGCAGCCCGCAACTTGGAATACTGCCACCCGACCATCGCGGCGCAACGCCCGCCCCAAGCAGGACCATCCACCCCAACGCAGGCAAAACACATATAGGACATTTTTGGTCTGTGCACAAGATCGCGTTGACCGTTGGTGCTGAGTCCGACTTCAAATCTAATCTAGTTGGATCCGAGAAGTGATGGGCGTGGGGTATCGTGGATAGTTCACATAGTGTGACACGCGTGATGCGGCAACCGGCGGACATGCCGAAGGTAGTGTTGTTCGTGAGTTATCTTTGCAATTGGTGTCAGGTATTCAGTCCGTCAAGTATGTTCTGAAGACGCGTGCAGCGTACCCGGCGACCCAGGCTTTAACTGCAGAGACCGGCTCTGCGAAGGGCGGCGCATGAGGCGTGTTTTTTTTTTTTTTTTTTTTTTTTTGGTTGGATCGCGTGGCCACGTGCAGTCGACGCCTGGCCACCTGTCGTTCCAGCTTTTTGGGGCGAGTTCTTGCGTCTGGATCCCCGGGCGCCTGATCTTCGCGAGGCCATGCGCCTGTGTACTTCGTTTCGTCTTGGGCCTTCGCGAAACCGAGTGCTGCAGTCTATCGACTAGCCAGGTTGTTGGGTTGTCCGCCATGCGGCCATTGCTATCACGGTTCCAATGAAGCTGATGCTTCGAGCGAATTATCGACTCGTCTCCGCCCCTTTGGCTTTGAACGGAGTTGAAAGGCGAGCGACGCGAACTTTTAACGGCTGCCATTTGGTTGAAGCGGCGCGCAGCAGTATAGGCATAGACAGCTTGCTGTCGACAGCCACTTGCGATGAACAGAAGCATTCCTTCTAGCTTGCGCCTTCTTACATCTTCCATCGTATGTCCCATCTTTTCGTATCGTGCTCATGCATTCACGTGGTTGGGCCATGGGAGCGCTTGAGGCGTAGTCTATGGTTCGGCTTGCCATATTGATGTCGATTCACCCCAGGGAACCTCGGCGGCCATTTTGGGCCATCTTGGCGGATATCGATCAAAGGAAAAACGCGTTTTACTTCGCCCCCCTCCCGCCCAAGAGGCCAACATGGCCAATACCTAATTCAAATCAGCGTTTTGGATTTCTCGCGAAGGCATCTTGGACGCCCCAACCTGTCGCGGACCCCCCCGTCCCCCGAGGGGGGACGAAAAGGGGGGTTGGAACAAAGAGCTCCTTGAACCACTCACGCCCTGAAGGGCTGGTAGAATTGTTTTCGCCCCTTTCTTTGGCTTCTGTACTGAATATTGTCGGCCCTTGGCTCCCCCATTTTATATCCTTTCTCTCCCCCGCGGGCTACGCCATGCGCGAGCACGAGTAGTCCCACTACATTCCACCCTCCTCCTCCTCCTCCTCTTCTCGCTCCCTCCCTCCCCTCCCTCCCCTCGCTCCGTCCTCCCTCACCTCAGCTGTTGGTCAGGTCCCTGCGGTCGGGGCCGACTGGCGGCCGCACCTAGTTTCGCGAGATTCTTCCCCTCGGAGCTGTCCTACTTCCTCGTCCTCCTCGTCCTCCTCCTCATCTTCCTCCTCCTCCTCCTGTTTTCCTCCTCCTCCTCCTCCTCCTCCTCCTCCTCCTCCTGGTGGTCCTCCCTCCTCCCTCCCCCCCCCTCCCCCTCCCTCCCCCCCTCCTCCACCGCGTACTCTCCCCTTCCCTGCCTCTCTTCTTCCCTCCCTCCCTCCCTCCTCCTTCGCCGTCCTCTCCTGCTCCCTGCCTTTTCCTCTCTCCTTCGTTCCCCCCCTCCTCGTCTCCACCTCGCCCCTCAGGTCTCCTTCGAGGGCGACGCCGCCCCAGAGCGGAAGGCGGGCCTGCCCCCACCCTCACCCCGCAGGCCGCCTCGCCGCCGCCGCCGTCGCCGTCTGGGTCGCCTTGGTCGTCAGTTTCGGTTGTCTCGGTCGTCGTCGTGGTCGCCATCGCAGGCCTCCGACGTGTTGGGTCCTCGTCTTGAACAGAGCCTCGCGTTTCTTTCTTTCTTTCCTCCTCCCCGTCCTCCCTCCTCCCATCCCTGCTTCTGCCCTGCATATGCCCCCATCTCATCACCATCATGCGTACCCGCGCCCGATTCGGCACATCCCTCACACGTGCTGTGGCCCCATAGGGGTCTCCACCGAAAGTCTCAGCGTCACGGTCGGCATGGCGTACCCGCGCCCGATTCGGCACACCCTTCACACGTTTCGTGTCCGGGTAGGGAACTCCACCGAAGGCCCCAGCGGCAGGATTTGCATGGCGTGCTCGCACCCTATTCGGCACACCCATCACACGTTTCGTGTCCCCATCTGGAGCTCCACCGAAGGCCCCAGCGGCAGGGTCTGCATGGCGTGCCCGCGCCCGAATCGGCACACCCTTCACGTTTCGTGGCTCCATAAGGAGCTTCACCGAAGGCCCCAGCAGCAGGGTCCGCATGGCGCCGCCGCACCCGTGTCAGCACGCCCCTCACACGTGCCGCAGCCCCATGGGTTTCCCCATCCAAGGCCCGAGTGGCATTTCGCACCCGCATCATGCCGGCAGACCTCTCAGTTTTCCCCCTTGCTTCTGTTCATTTGCTTCGTGGTCCCCGCAGTTTCATATGGGTTGGCCCTTCGCCAGGATATTTTGTTTGTTTGTTCCCACCCATCCTGTGGTGTTGGGTTCCCATGTTGGAGAGAGCGCCCCGCGTTCCTAACCTCTCCTCCTCCATTCCTTCTCCTTATAGATACCTCTTCCCGGTCGCACCCCGAGGCCAGTTTTTAGGGCTGGCCGGGCGTTTCGTCTGAGACTTCCTCACCATTTATGATTCTGAAGCTTGAACAGTGACACCAGTTTTGCGAAATCGCGCGAGTGGATCTCCTTGAATACACAAGAGGGTGTGTGTGCTCGCAGAACCTCCCTTCCAAGGGGGGGTGAGATTTTCGACCCCCCCCCCCCTCCCCCTCCTTCAAGGGGCGGGGGGGTCCGAACCCCTCCCTCCCCCCCCTCCTTGAAAGGGGGGGGGTCCAGCCCCCCCCCCCTCTCCCCCCTTTGGCGCTGGAAAAAGGGGGGGGCGGTTCGGACCCCCCCCCTCCCCCCCTTTGCACTGGAAAGGGAACCGGGGAGGGGGGGCCTCTCTCGCTTCTCCTTTCTGCCCCGGAGAAGGTGTGGAGGGAGTACGCAGTTGGGAGTAGGGAGTAGTGAGTAGTGAGTAGTGAGTAGTGAGTTAGTGCGTAGTGCGTAGTGAGTATTGGGTAGTGAGTAGTGGTAGTGAGTGGCGACTAGGGAGTAGCGAGTAGGGACTGGGGAGTAGTTAGTAGTGAATAGTGAGTAGTGTGTACTGATAAGTGAGTAGTGAGTAGCAAGTAGTGAGTAGTGAGTAGTGAGTAGCGAGTAGTGAGTAGTGGGTACTGAGTAGGGAGTAGGGAGTAGTGGGTAGTGAGTAGTGGGTGGCGAGTAGTGATTAGTGAGTAGTGAGTAGTGGGTAGTGCGTAGTGAGTAGTCAGTAGTGAGTAGTGCGTAGTGAGTAGTGAGTAGTGAGTAGTGAGTAGCGAGTAGTGAGTAGTGAGTAGTGAGTAAGTAGTGAGTAGTGAGTAGGAAGTAGTGAGTAGTGAGTAGTGAGTAGTGAACAGTCATGAATATAGAGTAGTGGGTCGTGGCAGTGGGTAGTGAGTAGTGATTAGTGAGTAGTGAGTAGTGCGTAGTGAGTAGTGAATAGTGAGTAGTGAGTAGCGAGTAGTGAGTAGTGAGTAGTGAGTAGTAAGTAGTGAGTAGTGAGTAGGAAGTAGTGAGTACTGAGTACTCTTTAGGGCTGGGGTTAGTGATTGGGGTTAGGGTTAGGGGTCTGGGTTAGGGTTAAGGGTAGGGCTCGGGCGGGTTGGAGCCCCGGCGTCTTTTGAAAGGGGGAGGAGGGGGGGTTCCCGACGACGGACCAGCAGGAAAGGGGGGGAGGGGGGGGGTCCCCGACGACGGATCGGGGAAGGGGGGGAGGGGGGGGGGGTTCCCCGACGACGGATCGAGGAAAGGGGGGAGGGGGGGAGGGGTTCCCAACCCCCCACCCCCTTTGGGGAGATCCAGCGGCGCGCCGTCCAGTTTTGCAGATGCAGGGCGGGTCGATTTCAAAATATGGCTCTCGTCTCAGCGCCGCGCACATTGTTTTCAAACATGTGCAAGAGTTTCACGGATTGAGGGCGGGCGGTTTTCAACATGTGGCTCTCGCGTTAGCGCCGCGCACACTCGTTTTAAACATTTGCAAGAGTTTCACGGATTGAGGGCCGATGATTTTCAAAATGTGGCTCTCGCCTTAGCGCCGCGCGCATTCGTTTTAAACACTTGCAAGAGTTTCACGGATTGAGGGCGGGTCGTTTTCAAAATGTGGCTCTCGCCTTAGTTCCTCGCACATTCGTTTTAAACATTTGCAAGCTTTTCACGTATGGGGGCTGGCGCCTTTTCAAAAGGTGGCTCTCGCTTCAGCGCCGCGCACATTCGTTTTCAGAATTTGCAAGTGTTCCGCGGAGTCCCACATGATCAACGCACCAGACATGGTGTTTTGGAGGGATTCAGGACTCTGCGAGCGCAACATTTATGTTGATTCGCTGTGCTGAAGTCCCCGAAACGGAATTTGGGTACGATTTGGATCGTCAAACGCAGCAGTCAGGTTGATACGTGGCGTGGAACCCCCGGGAGCAAGGTTTTGGCACGCTTCAGGATCTTCAAACTGTTGTCTTCCAAGGAGGCAGTTCCCTCAATGAAAATGAACCGTTTTAAGCGCCTCTTAAGAGGGAGCTTGGAGGGATGGTTAATTCCAACATCGTTGATGACTCTTCGGTTTCCACTGGTCCTCCTCCTCCTCTTCTTCTCGATCCCTCCCTCCCCTCCCTCCCCCGCTCCCTCTTCCCGCACCTCAGGTGTTGGCCAGTCGCCTGCGGTCGCGGCCGCCCGGCTGCCGCGCTGAGTCTCGCGAGATCTTGCCCCTCGGAGCTGTCCTACCTCCTCCTCCTCCTCCTCCTCCTCCTCCTCCTCCTCCCTCCCCTCTCCTCCTCCTCCTCCTCCTCCTCCTCCTCCCCCTTCCTCTTCCCTCCTCCTCCATCCTTGCATCTGCCCTCCGCATGTCTCTGTTTGGGCACCCCTCACACGTTTCGCAGCCCCATTGGGAACTCCACCGAAGGCCCCAGCGACAGGGTCCGCATGGCGTGCCCGATTCGGCACACCCCTCGCACGTTACGTGGCCCAATTGGGAGCTCCACCGAAGGCCCCAGCGGCAGTGTCCGCATGGCGTGCCCGCGCCCCAGTTGGGACACCCCTCACACGTACTGTGGCCCCACAGGGAGCTCCACCGAAAGTCGCAGCGGCAGGGTCCGCATGGCGCGCCCGCACCCGATTTGGTACGCCCATCACACGTTCCGTGGCCCCGACGGGAGCTCCACCGAAGGCCCCAGCGACAGGGTCCTGACGGGAGCTCCACCGGGCGCCCCACCGAAGGCCCCGACGGGAGCTCCACGATGATGGTCATGATGATGCTGATGCTGGTGGTGGTGGTGATGATGGTGGTGATGATGCTGCTGATGATGATGATGCTGATGATGATGACGATGATGCTGATGCTGCTGCTGATGATGATGATGATGATGGTGGTGGTGGTGATGATGATGATGGTGGTGGTGCTGGTTATGATGATGATGATGATGATGCTGATGATGATGATGATGATGCTGATGATGATGATGATGATGATGCTGATGATGATGATGATGATGATAATGATGATGATGATGATGATGATGATGATGATGATGATGATGATGATGATGATGATGATGCTGCTGCTGCTGCTGCTATGGATGATGATGATGATGATGATGGTGATGATGATGATGATGATGATGATGATGATGATGATGATGATGATGATGCTGATGATGATGATGATGATGATGATGATGATGATGATGATGATGAATGATGATGATGATGATGATGATGATGATGATGATGATGATGATGATGATGATGATGATGATGATGATGATGATGATGATGATGATGATGATGATGATGATGATGATGATGATGATGATGATGATGATGATGATGATGATGATGATGATGATGATGATGATGATGATGATGATGATGATGATGATGATGATGATGAGTCTGTGCGTGCACGCAGCCGCTCTGTAATGTCTTTTCAGTCATACTTTTCTGAAGAGTTGCCAATTTCGCACTCTTCTGCCCACGCGTCCCTCCGGACGCTCGGCTCAGTGGTGGATGTGGTGGTGGCTCCCTCCTCCTCTCTGCGCTGCGCCGTGGCCTGGCGGCGCGAGGGCGGCCGGGTGCGGCCGGCAGGGGCCCGTTTGCCCCCCTGTCGGGGGCTTCGGCCAGCAGGCCTGAGGGAATTTTTGTGCGATCCTCGATCCTCGATCCTGGATCGTCGTCCTCCTCCTCCTCCTTCTCCCTTCCTCCTCCTCCTCCTCCTCGTCCCCCTCCTCCTCGATCCCAGATCCCCCTCCTCCTCGCGATTCCCTGGTCCTCCATATCGCGAGGATGCCAGGGCCCCGCGAGTGGCAGCGCCCCGCCGTCGCGGGCGCCCGATGCCCTCCCCCAGCCGTCCAGGAGGCCGAAGTCGGCGATCAACGGGCTCTTCGGGCAGCGCGGTACTTCTCGTTCTCCTCTTCGTCCCTGTTGCCAATGCCGCCCCGCCCGCGCCGCTGTGAAGGTCGAGAAGAGGAAGGTGAATATCAAAGGACGGGCCCGTCGGTCGCAGCTCCACGCGACGGGTATTTGTTAGTGCTAGGCGGGCCGGGGATGGTGGGGAAGGAGGATGACGAGGGGAAGGGGATGGGGACGAGTGGAAGAAGACAAGCTAGGTGCGCTCGCGCCATGCCTGACATGCTGCCCCTGCTATCCATCCCTTCCCGCTGCGCCGTTTTCCCTCTGTGCGTCTCCAGGTGCCGTGACGGACCTGGCACCCCCCAACTGACCGCATCGTGTCATGCACAATCAAAAAGCGGCGCTGGATACACTGGAGGAGGGGGAGGAGGTGGTGGATGAGCAGGAGGACGAGCAGGAGGAAGAGGAAGAGGAGGATTAGGAGAAGGGAGGAGGAGGAGGAGGGGGAGGAGGAGCAGCAGCAGCGGCAGGAGCAGGAGCAGGAGCGAGACGCACGGGAGGAGGCGAAGGGGGAGGAGGACCAGGAGAAGGCGGAGGCGGGGACAAGGGAGGGGCGACAACGACGAGGGAGGACGCGGATCTTTAAGTATGGCCCGCTCGGGGGCGGCACAGCGATCCTGAGCGACGGGAGCACAGCGCAGACCCCGAAATGCGGCCAACGCCGCAGCGGGAGCATTGTTTCCATCAGAGCGTGAATTACCTACCCCGCTTTCGCTTCCAGGCAAAACCAAGTCATACCATGCGCCTCCTCGTCAAGCGGCCTGACCAGTACAGGCTGCAATTTGGCATCGTTTGGTATCTCTTGGAAGCGAGGGTGGTCAAAAGCGAGGTAGGTTTGTTTTCCCCCTATTTCAAGCAGAAAGCCCTCCGTCTTGAAAGAGAAGGATCACCCAGTAATGACATCTGGTGTTTAAGAACAGTGCACGGAGAGGGCGGGACGCCATCATCTCGTACTCCTGTGGAAGAGGGCCGTTTTGGTGCTTATATTGTTGTATGGGGAGAGGAGGCGGAGGATGATAATGAGGATGAGGATACTGATGATCATGAGGAGGATGAGGATGAGGATGATGATACGGAGTAGGATAGATGAGGATGATACCGAAGTCCGCCTAACGTCAAACAGGAAGAGGCGGAGGAAGGAATGGAGGAAGGACAGAAGGAAGGAGGAAAGGTAGGCGAGGTATGCGGAGGAGGAAGAGGAGGAAGACGAAGACGGAGACGAAAACGAACATGAAGACGAAGGCGCGAAGATGAAGTCGGGAGGAATGAATGAAGGAAGGAAGAAAGGACGAAGGAGAAGGAGGAGGATGAGGGGAAGGATGAGGAGGATGAGGAGGAGGAGAAGGAGGAGGAGGGGAAGGAGGATGAGGAGGAGAAGTAGTAGGAGGAGGAGGAGGAGGAGGAGGAGGAGGAGGAGGAGGAGGAGGAAAGGGAGGAAGAGGAGGAGGAGGAGGATGATGATGATGAGGAGGAGGAGGAGGAGGAGGAGGAAGAGGAGGAGGAGGAGGAGGAGGAGAGGGAGGAAGGGTTTCGGAGGAGGAGGATGCTGATGACGATGTCGTCGTCGCTGGCGGCGGCGGCGACGGCGTCTCCTGGCGGCAGGACGCGCCACCGGGGCCACCGTTCAGCAGGCGCGCGCCGCCTCGCTCTGCTCCGCGCGCCGACTCGCCGCCGCCACCGCCGCCGCTGGTCGTTGTCGTCGTCGTCGTCGTCGTCGTCGTCGTCGTCGTCGTCGTCGTCGTCGGCGTGGTCGTCGTCGTCGTCGTCGTCGTCGTCGTCGTCGTCGGCGTCGACAGAGCGGGATAGAGAGAGAGAGAGAGAGAGAGAAAGTGGGATTGTGAGGGGGGAGTGATGAGCAGGTTGGGGGATGGTGGGGAAGGAGGGACGGTGATGATGAGCAAGATGAGTGGGGGCAGGGAGGGAGAAGGCCCAGGTTGAAGGTGGAAGGCGAAGGAGAGACGAACGAGGGGGAAGAGGGGTGAGCAGGACGATCAGGGAAATGGGAGAGGAGATGGGGCAGAAGGAGGGAACGACGGAGGAGGAGGAGGAGGGAGGAACAGGAGAAGAAGGATGATGCTGATGATGCTGCTGATGATGATACTGCTGCTGCTGATGATGATGATGATGATGATGATGATGATGATGCTGATGATGAGGATGACGATGACGATGATGATGATGATGATGATGATGATGATGATGATGATGCTGATGCTGATGCTGATGATGATGATGATGATGATGATGATGATGATGATGATGATGATGATGATGATGATGATGATGATGATGATGATGATGATGCTGATGATGATGATGATGATGATGATGATGATGATGATGATGATGATGATGAAGATAATGAGGATGATACTGATGATTGTGATGATAATGAGGCTGCTGCTGATGATGGTGATGGTGGTGATGATGATAATGATGCTAATGATGATGGCGGTGATGACGATGATGGCCCGTTCTCGAACAATAATCGCTGGGGCGTTGAAGGCCGCGCGGGTTCTCCGAAACCGCCCCGGCTCAAGCCTTTTCTGTTTGGGCCTCAGGTGGCCGAGCCCCCTTCGGGGCCCGCATGCGCGTTGCTGCCCGCGGGGGAGGGCTGATCGCCTTCCACCTCCTCGCCGCCTGGGTGGCGCGGCGGTGGGCGCCGCTTCCTGCGGCGCTGCCCGTGCCGGAGCCGCCGCGGGCGGCACCGGCGCCCGCTCCGCCGGCGCGGAGCTGCCCGGCGGCCGCGCCGCCCGCCCCCGCGCAGGTCTCGGACCTCTGCGCGGAGATCGCCAGGTGCCTGCCGGCGGCCTCGCTCCCGGCTTGGGAGGTCTGCCCCGATCCCTGCCCGGCCTGCCCCAAGCCGGAGGAGGGTGGCTTCAAGTGGGGCATCGAGCTCGGCGTCGGGTTCTTCACCCTCCTGCTCTGGGAGGCCGTCACTACTTGCGGGGCTGCGCTTCGCAGCCAGGTGCGACGCTTGCTCTCAGGCGCGCGGGCGGCTGGTCCCCCAGCGGTGCCCGCGGCTCTGGAGGACGGCAGCCCGTCCGCCCAGGTGGATCGACGCTTTCCAGGTGGCAAGGGTAGGCTGGTGGTTGCCTGATGAATGTCGGCGATGAGCTGCTGGTCTGCTATGACGTTCCTGGCGTTCCTCTGCTCCATCGCCGCATCGTTGTCCGTGTCAGCCAGGTGCAGCCGATGCACGCCGCTGTGGTCTCGCCCGACTTCGACCTCGTTGAGCACTTCACGGACGACAGCGACGACATCGCCGCCTGGTACCGATGCGGACCTGGCGGGGCAGTGCCGGCAGGTTTGGGCGGGGTGGCGCTGTGCGATTTCCAGCGGCCGCTCACGGCCCAGGAGTTCTTCAACCTCGTCCCGAGGGCCGAGGGTCTCGTCCGCGAGCACGACAGGCAGCTCGCCGCCGCGGCCGGCCCTGGCGCTGCCGGCGCCCACGGACCGGTGGTCCCGCATGGGCCTCCGGCCGCAGGCCAGGCCGCTGCGCCCCCGGCTGGTGGCGGCGCGCCCGTGCTGGGTGTCGGTGCTGGAGCGGCCGGCGGCCTGTCTGCGCTCCTGGGCGCTCGGGGGGGGGGCGGAGCTCACGGCCCGCCGGCGGCCGCCGGCGCGCCCGCCCCTGGAGCGGCTGCGCTGGCCGCCCTCCCGCCGGCTGCAGCCCTCGCCGCCGCCGCTGGCGCGGCCCCGGCAGACGGAGCCGCCGGGCGCGCCGGGCTCGCTGCTGCGCTGGCGGGGCCCGGCGCCCCTGGGCAAGGTGCTGCCGCTGCGGGGGCCGCGCCGGGCCTCGCCGACGCCGGGGCCGCCAGCAGTGTGGCCGACGACTGCAGGACGCTGGCCGTCGCCTGCGACATCAACGGGAAGCGGCGCAGGTCCTTCGCAGCGGGCGTCGCCCTCCTGGCTCCGACCATGTGGGGGGGCTGGCCCATCCCGGGCCCTCGCGCGGTGCACTGGGTGGCGACCTTCATGCTGGAGAACGGCGGCAGCGCTATGGGCCATCATGTGCAGTGGAAGTCTAACATACGTCGGGGCCTCGAGGACGTCACGGTCTCGAACCACCTGGAGCGCAGCAAGATCTTCGAGGCGGCGCTGTGCTACGACCAGCTGGAGATCAGCAGCCTCGCCTGCCTGGAGCTCGTCGGTCGCCAGCTTCAGGCATGCGAGGAGATCCACCGCGACCTGCTCTTCGGCACGAAAGGGGCGAGTCAGACGGTCACGACGAATACTACTACTTCACGGGGGTGGCGTCGACCCGTGGCCTCGTGGTGGCGCCGGCGCTCAGCACTTGGATCAGCGAGCAGGTCGCGCGCGAGAACGCCGTGGCCAAGGGGCGCAGGAAGGCCAGAGAGGAGCGCGCCCTCGCCAAGCCCAAAGGAAGGGCTAAGGGCGGCCAGGATTGACCCTAGGCCCGCCCGTCGCAGATCAGGCTGCCTGCTGCTCCTTGGCTCCGGGCTGGCAGGCCTTCGACATTTCAGCCACCTCGGGATGTCTCGCCAGCTCGACGTCTTCCCGCTATCCTTTCTTCATGTTCCTGAAGCTCCTGGTCCCGGCCTGGGCGGCTGCCGCGCCGTCGCCCGCCGTGGCCACCGCCGTCGCCATTCCCTGCGCTGGGCCAACGACGGCATCGCCTCCCTCAACCAGCTCGCTGGACGCGGCGGGGAGTCGGTCGGCGCGCCGACCGCCGTCCAGCAGCTGAGCCTCCAGCACCTGGAGCGCAGCTACGCCGCCGTGGGCGCCTGCCCGGCCGACCTCCACCCCCGCGGGAGCCTTCGTGAGCTCTGCGGCTCCGCCGTTCTGCGCGGCGAGACTTCTACCGCCGTCGTGCTCTACAACGAGGACCTCGTGTCCTGGCCGGCTGTGGGCGCCGCGCCTGTCGACCTGGCCAGCGCGCTCGCCGCCGAGCACCCTCTTGGTTGAGGGGCCTGACGGCCAAGATGCGACGACCTCCGGCGGCAGCGGCTGCCATTCGGTCTGAGCTCGGACTTCTCCGCCCCTACATCGACCCCGCCTTCCGCAACCAGCGCGTCTACGCCGACTTCGTCAAGGGGATGCTGGATCGCGGAACGGCGCGCCTCGAGCCCATGGCGGCGGGCGCGACCGTGGGTTTGTTCTTTGTCAAGAAGAAATCTGGCCAGCAGCGTATCATCTTCGACGCTCGTCTCGCCAACTGCGACTTCGAGCCGCCGCCGTCGACGCACCTGCCCTCAGCCTCGGCCTTCGCGAAGATGGAGACCAGCGAGTGCGACGTGGTCTGGTGCTCGGTCGGCGACATCCAGAACGCCTTCTACGCCATCGCGGTGCCTCCAGAGCTGGGGTCATACTTCAGGCTACCCCCGGTTCGAGCAGGCGCCCTTGGCCGCCCTGAGGTTGGTGGTGAGCGGCCCTCGGCCGCTGCTCTCCTCACCCCCGTGCTGACGGTCCTGCCGATGGGCTGGAGCTGGGCGCTTCACCTCTGCCAGCTGGTCACCGAGGAGGGCCTGGCTCGAGGTGGGCTCAACGCGGACGTCCTAGTCAAGGATCGAGCCGCAGCCGGCCCCCTCGGGCCGACCCGCCCGCTTCAGGCGGCAGGCTACGTTGACAACTTCATGGTGCTTGGCACTCCCTGCAGCCGGGTGGCCGCCGCGGGCAGGCGGGCGACGACCAGCTTCGACGACCAGGGCTTCTTTGTTCACGAGAACACCGCCGAGCCCGTCTGCGCGACCGACTTCGTGGGCCTCTCCTTCGACGGGAAGGCTCACGCCGCGCGGGTGGCCGCTGGGCGGATGTGGCGCCTGCGGCTCGCGATCGAGGAGCTGCTTGCTCGTGGCCGCTGCTCTGGTCACGTCCTGGAGGTGGTCCTCGGGCACGCTACCTGGATCATGCTGCTGCAGCGGTCGACTCTCTCGATCCTCAACACCGTCTACGCCTTCATCAAGGTCCACCAGCACCAGGTCGGCGCGATCGGGGACTCCGTGGCGTGGGAGCTCAGGCAGGTCAGGAACCTCCTCCCGCTCTTCGTGGCGCACGCCGACGCCGAGTGGTACCCCGACGTGACGGCCTCGGGCGCCTCCCACTGGGGCTGCGGCGTCCGCGTGCGGGCTGCGCCTCCCGAGCTGGTTGGCCGCTGGGGCCGCGCGGCTGAGAAGTGGCGCTGCAAGCAGGGGGCGGCCGCCGCGCGGGCGCGCGCCTTCGAGCTGCACGACGCACTGGTGGAGGGCGACCTGCCCGACAGCCTGCGCCAGGCCGACGAGGGCAGGAGGGCCTACGACATGGTAGGCCCGTCCTTCACGGACCCCGAGGCTTGGCACATCGTGGAGTCCTTCCCCTGGCGGGCTCCAGCAAACATCTTTCGCCTCGAGGGCCTCGCCCTGTCGAGCGCCCTCCGGCACACCCTTCGGGGCCGAAAGGCGCTCGGGACTCGAATCCTGGCCCTCGTCGACAACATGGGCCTCGCCTTGGCCGTGGGTAGGGGCCGCTCCGCCGCCTTCCAGATTCGGGGCGTCCTTCGAGAGGTTTGCGCCTTGACTCTCGGCTGCCGCCTGCCCTTAGGTGTTCGCTGGGTCCCGTCGGAGAGGAACCCCCCAGATGCTCCGTCCAGAGGCTGCTACTACATCGAGGAGCAGGGCAGGCCCGACAGCGTCGC